TTCAGCCGCTGTTGAAACTGATCAGTTTCAGCAGCGGCTGAATCTGGACGCCAGTTCCGACTTACATACAGATTCAATTTAAGAACAAACCTACAGTCCCTATCTTGTAAGTAACCCGGGGACTGCCTGTATCTCAATGTGGTCATTAGGCTTTTCAATATAATAATGAAAATCTTAACCCTAGTTTATGGGGTCAGGAGCCAGCCATGTTTTAATTATGTCCCCTGACTCAACTGTAGCTGGGCAGAGCAGCCTTAAGAAAAAGAGAAAAAATGACACAAAAATAAACCAAGTATATTGGCTCATGCATCTCTAGCAACAAGAATTGGGAAATCACCAACTACCATTAGCACTGCTAAATTAAGGCACTGAAGGCAAATAATAGAGTATTCCTAGCAATAGGAAATTATTCCATCTAATGCCCTGTCTCTTAAATGTTTTTGTTCCATTCTTCAGCGAACACACTCTTGCTGTTATGTATTCTCTTATATGTGTTTTGTATTAACCACTGATGCTAAAACAATACATTGTGGAGGTTCAAATTTTGGCAGTTAAACATCTAACTAACTTGAGCCTGTAGCAACTGAGATCACTGAAAACTGGTCAAAATTTAGTCTTTTAACGACTGGTTTTCTAATACGAACAGCCATACATATAGTAGCAACCACACAAATCTTAGCCTCCACACAAATCTTAGCCTCCACACAAATCTTAGTGAGGAGACCCCTGGGCACCATGCTAGGGAGGTTCCAATTTAATCCCATTCTGCTCCCCCCGTTATCCCTTCAGCTCACGTGCTCCTACTCCACCTGCCACCAGCAGCTGGAGCCTCCTCCCTGCCTCTCTGCTCCAAGCCCGACCCTGCTCCAAGCTCGACCCTGCACCGGCGGGTTAATGCATGCGGGAGCCTGGCCCCAAACTGTAGGGGGTGGGGAAAGATGCAGTACAAGTTCCCCTCACCTGTGCACCAGGCTCAGGGCCGTGCCACATGGTGGCGGGGGAGGGGAAGGCACAAATTTTTCTTTTGCCCCCAGGCACAAAACACCTTCGCTACGCCTCTGTCTGGAGAAGGAACAGGAATGTTTGCAGAACCCAGCTAGGCTAGCAGTTGGGTGTCCTTTTCCTTTTTCTTCTCTTCTTATCTGGGACCAAAAGCTGAGGGACTGAAGCAGGGGTAAGCAGTGACCCAGGGAAAGTAGGTCCGAGGGCCCCTTCCCATAGGCAAACACTCCTGATCTTCCTAGGGTCCTGGATCAGAGCCCAGTGGAGTGGGTGGGTCCAGGCTACCCTATCACTGTCCCTTGAATGAGTGGACACTAACCCCTCGGCTTTTCAGCCCACTGAAGACCCTCTTACAGACAGAATAATGATCACTCTTTTTTCACATTGGACTCGATCCTGAATTCCATGTGAACTCAGAATTGCTACTGAAAACTAAGAGATATGATCTATGAAAACAGTTTTGCAACTGCTGATGAAATTTGGTGCAATATGGTGCACAGATGGAAGTAGAAAACAGGTTATTTTAATACAAGTGTTGACTTTTGAAGTTCAAAAAGCCTGCAAGGGAGATCCTGCAAAAGCATCAAAATTCACAGCATGCTGATGCTTTAGAACATGTTTCAAAGCACCACTTAGACAACAGAGAACATTTTTGTAGCTGTATGTGTGTTCCATTTACAGCACAGTATTCTATGAATGATTTTTTTAAAATAGCCTCATTTTAATGAGAAGCAGTGTAGCAATTAATGGTGAGGAGGTTCTGACTGGGACTGAGGAGACCTGACTCCAGTTCCTTGCTCTGATTCTGCTTTGCTGGGTAACCCTGGGCAAATCTCCTTTATGTCTCAGTTTCTCCATCTGTAAAATGGAGATAATGATGCTGAATTATATGTAAGATAGGTATTATTATTTACACTGTACAGATACTAAAGGCCAAATTCTACAAATCGTTCCTCACACAAGTGGTCTCCACTAAGTGCCACTAAGACAATGGGATTACTCATCTGAGGGATCTACCCACTACAGTCTGTGAGGTGGTTTTTGGTTAACACTATTATGATATTTCACAATTTGGGAAATTTAGCCAGTGATGTTAAATGACTTGCTCAAAGAGATCATACAGTGAATCAGTGGCAGAGCCTGGATCTATGTTTATTCCACTAAATTGCACTGCATGTTAGAGGCCTTGATGCAAGAGACCAGTTATGTACAGTTTAGTTTTAAATATGTAAATAGTCTCATTGAATTCATTGGAACTATCCTGATCTGGATATTGTCCCAAGGACACAAGACAAAATATTAAACTATTTAAAAATGTATAACTGACAGTATATCTTAAATGTGGTTGATTTTTTTACCTCATCTTGCAATGGCTTCATCCTGCCACATTTGTGCAGCTGAAACTCCCACTGGAGACAATGTCTGGGTGCAGAAAGACTGCAGGATTAGTCACAGTTGTACAGTCAAATACAAATTTTCCTAAAAGCCACCAGAGGCACTGATTTGTCTAAAGCAATATTTCCAAATATTAAATATTCAGCTTTTTGTTATTTTTAAATTAAACAGTCACTCTGTACAACAGGGCAAGTACTAGCCCATAGCAAACCCTACGCAGAAATATTTCTTCCTCTCCCTCACAATACATACTAATAATTAATAGGAGCCCCCTTGAGATGCTTGGGCACTAAGCAATTGTTTATTCTGATTATACCTAGCACTGGTTCTGCGTATACACTCAGATCTCCCTTATGCTGAGACCTCACACTCTACAATGATATCCCAAGGCAACTTAAAAAACAACTAATGGTCCTGCGGCACCTTAGAAACTAACAAAAAATGTAGATAGTATCATGAGTTTTCTTAGCACAACCCACCTCTTCAAATGAATGGAGTAAGGGGTCCAGAGGTACAAATAAATAGCAGAAAAAGAAGGGAGATGGGAAGGGCAAGGAGGAAAAAAACCCCTTGTCAATTAAAGTGTCCATGCTAAATGAGGCTAATTGAGCGGGCTGTCAGTGCCTGATACTTAGCTCTTGATTTCATTTGGGTGTTAAATATAACAGCCCATCCAGTTTGTGTCTTTGTTCAAACCATAGTTGAATGTGTCAAATTTGTATATGAAGGCAAATTCCACAGTTTCTCTCTCTAGCTGGTTTCTGAAATTGCTTTGCTGGTTTCTGACAGTCACTTTTAGATCATTAATGAGTGATCCTGAGGCAGTTATCTCATCCTGAGTGACACTGAGAGCATCTCTACATTGCCTCACAGCTCGGACTAAGAGACTCTGAATGGCAGATGAGCACCAAAATGCTGTACTTTAACTCCCCGGTTTGGATGCTGTAGGTGTGAGCTTAAAAGGTCCCCAGAGGGAATGTGCCTATTAGATCTGGCATGTAACTATTACTTACAGGAACTTCAGGGAGTAGCCTAGTTAGTCTGTTACAGAAAAAAACAACAAATGGTCTGGTAGCACTTTATAGACTAACGAAACAAGTAGATAGTATCATGAGCTTTCGTGGGCACAGCCCACTTCTTCAGATAACTGGTCATCTGAAGAAGTGGGCTGTGTCCACGAAAGCTCATGATACCATCTACATGTTTCGTTAGTCTATAAAGTGCTACCAGACCATTTGTTGGTTTTTTTATTGCTTACAGAGAACTCACAACCTGTAACATCTTACCCAGAGCACCCACAAGGGGGAGCCCAGAGCTGTGCACATCCCCTTAGTCCTGTGCTCTCCAACCTTTTTAAGCACAAGATCACTTTTTGAATTTAAAGTACAATCTGCGATCTACCTCAAACCCATATATATTGCCCTGCCTCCTTCATGCCCCTTTTGTGAGGCCCTGCCTCTGGTCACACTGTCCTCTCTACCTTTCCCATTCTCCATCTCTTTCACTAGGCAGGAGCAGAGGTTTGGGGCACAGAATCTGGTCTTGGGCTAAGGGATTTGGAGTGTGAGAGGGGCTCTGAGCTGAGCCTAGGGCAAAGAGTTAAGGAGCAGGAGGGAGCTCAGGGTACAGGCTCTGTAAGAGAGTTTGGGTCCAGTGGGCTCAGGGCTGGAGCGGCAGCTTAGGGTGTCAGAGGGGGATCATGACTGGGACAGAGGTTTGGAGCTGGCTCCAACTGGGCAATGCTTACCTCAGGTGGCTCCTGGTGGTGGTGCAGTGGGGCTAAAGCAGGCTCACCCCTGGCCTGACCCTACACCACTCCCAAAAGTAGCCAGCAAACTCCCTTCACCCCAAGCCCTGTTGTGCCCCCCCCCTGCTCTGTGGAGATAGAACACAGGAGAAGGCACCCTGACATAAGCACCCCTCTTCTCCCTTCCCTGCTCTGTACCGCAAGCAAGAGGCTGGAGGGGGGGGCAGGCAAGGAGGAGGCAGCTGTAAGGCAATGGGCAGGAGGTGTGTCGCAGTGGGGGGAAAAGGCAGCTGAAGTGCCAGTGCTTGGTAGCCCCTAGGCCAAACCTGTCAGGATCACCTGTCAGAGGCTCCAAGATCTACCAGAAGATCCCAATCTACTGGTTGGTGACCACTGCCTTAGTCCAAACTGTGTGGCAATGTAGACATACCCTTAGTTCTCACCAGCTTCTTCACTGCCAGGCTTGCAATCAGTTGTCAGCTGTAAGCTCCATGATATAATTTATTTACTAGCACTTCATTATGGGCCAAGTTCAAAAAGCCTTTCAGGCCATATCCCATGATAAAGCAATGGGGGGTATGTCTACACTGCAGTTAAACATCCACGATTGGCCCAGCTCAGCTGACACAGAGTCATGGGACTCAGGTTACAGGGCTGTGAAACTGCTGTGTGGACGTTCACAGGACCCCAGAAGAGGGGGAAGGTCCTAGAACCCTGGCTCCAGCCTGAGCCCAAACATCTATGCTGTTATTTTAGAATCCTGCAGCCTGAGCCCTTTGAGCCCAAGCCAGCAGGATTTGGCTCTGTATGCCTAACAAGCAAGCCTCAATTAAGGTCTGATCCAAAGCCCCAAGTCAATGGACAAACTCCCATTAACTTGATCAAACGCTAAATTCAGCACTTTTTCAGTGTCCAGGGCAGGAGCTTCTTATCCAGCAGCACTCAAATTCCATCCAGCTCTCTGTAGTTCTAAAAGTGTATGTATGTCCTATAATTAATAACTACTACATGTCAGAACTAATAGTCATGTTTCCTCTCAATGTATGTATGTAACACTCAGCATGGCCGATAGCCACCACGGGCCTTCAGACAAAGTTGGAGGGTGGCCAGCTCCGTGTCCCCAGAAGGGGTGGGACCAAGAGCAGAAGGGGCAGGGCATAGGGTAGTCAGCCCTAGCATCACCCAGAATGAGGATCTGCCATCCCCCAGCCCTCAAAGATGAATGGAGCAGAGCTCCCATGGCAGTTCAAAGGCACCTGGGGCTCTGGCCACTGCCAAAATGGAATCACCTGTGGCCAGGAACTCTGGGCCCCTTTGAAACACCAGGCCTTGGGGCAATTGCCCCTTCACCACCACTCCTGTCAGTGGGCCTGGCAATACCCAATGTTCACAGGCGTGCCTCAAAAGAAAAAAATGTTACTCTCAAGGTGAGCTCCTGAGCTAGTATAAATTGGCATAGTTCCACTGAACCTAATAAAGATCCAGGCCCCAGGTGTTTAATCTTTTAAGTCAAGAGTTCTTCAAAAATAATTTTACTACTGTTTGATATAATACAGTAATTTAAAGCACATATCTCTTTAGGTTTTTTTCTTTCTGAATATTCTACATTTGTTCTGTTGCAGATACATAAGATATCTCACAGCTGCAAGTTTCATACCTGACTGCAAAGATACCCACCCACTTGAGGCCTATCACAACTTCTATCTCACATAAACCTGGAATACCTCACTGTTATTCCTGTAAATCATTGACATCAGAAATGCAAAACTTGAAACTAAAGATAAAGCTGCATGCAAGATTAAAGAAACAGATCAGTTCACGTTTGCTCCTGTTTTGTTGCATCCCTCTCCCTCTGCCACAGCTTGAAAGCAACCATTGCCCTGCACATTTGATTTTTTGGCAGATGAGAAGAAAGAAAGATGTTCCAATGATTTAGGCACTAGCTTAGGACTTGGGAGACTGCACTCAACTCCCTACTCTGCCATAGATTTCCTGTGTGACCTTAAACAAGCCACTTAGTTCTCTATAAAATGGGAACAAGAGGACTTATCTACCTCACTGAGGTATTGTGAGGATAACAAATTGCAGATTCTGAGGTACTCAGATTCTATGAGAATGAGGGCCATATAAGTACCATACATAGTTTTCCACTTGCCCCTTTTTTAAGTCACAGTTCTCTTTTATAAGTTTCATAACATTGAAAGCTACTTAAGGTATATACAATAGGATATGGGCACCTCACGGTCTGTAATGGATTTATCTTCACAAGTGCTATTATCCCTATTTTAGACCCAAGGAATTTAGGCACAGAGAAGCTAAGTGACTTGTCTTAAACCCAAACAAGAAGTTGACAATACAGCAAGGACTTGAAGGGACCACTGGACCATCCTTCCAGTCTCAAAACAAACCAGAAATAGCTTTGTAGGTCACCTTGACATAAGCACCCCCTTCTCTTCTGCCCCTGCCCTGCACAGCAAGCAGGAGGCTGGGTGGAGGGGGGGGCAGGCAAGGAGGAGGCAGCTGTAAGGCAATGGGCAGGAGGTGTGTCGCAGTGGGGGGAAAAGGCAGCTGAAGTGCCAGTGCTTGGTAGCCCCTAGGCCAAACCTGTCAGGATCACCTGTCAGAGGCTCCAAGATCTACCAGAAGATCCCAATCTACTGGTTGGTGACCACTGCCTTAGTCCAAACTGTGTGGCAATGTAGACATACCCTTAGTTCTCACCAGCTTCTTCACTGCCAGGCTTGCAATCAGTTGTCAGCTGTAAGCTCCATGATATAATTTATTTACTAGCACTTCATTATGGGCCAAGTTCAAAAAGCCTTTCAGGCCATATCCCATGATAAAGCAATGGGGGGTATGTCTACACTGCAGTTAAACATCCACGATTGGCCCAGCTCAGCTGACACAGAGTCATGGGACTCAGGTTACAGGGCTGTGAAACTGCTGTGTGGACGTTCACAGGACCCCAGAAGAGGGGGAAGGTCCTAGAACCCTGGCTCCAGCCTGAGCCCAAACATCTATGCTGTAATTTTAGAATCCTGCAGCCTGAGCCCTTTGAGCCCAAGCCAGCAGGATTTGGCTCTGTATGCCTAACAAGCAAGCCTCAATTAAGGTCTGATCCAAAGCCCCAAGTCAATGGACAAACTCCCATTAACTTGATCAAACGCTAAATTCAGCACTTTTTCAGTGTCCAGGGCAGGAGCTTCTTATCCAGCAGCACTCAAATTCCATCCAGCTCTCTGTAGTTCTAAAAGTGTATGTATGTCCTATAATTAATAACTACTACATGTCAGAACTAATAGTCATGTTTCCTCTCAATGTATGTATGTAACACTCAGCATGGCCGATAGCCACCACGGGCCTTCAGACAAAGTTGGAGGGTGGCCAGCTCCGTGTCCCCAGAAGGGGTGGGACCAAGAGCAGAAGGGGCAGGGCATAGGGTAGTCAGCCCTAGCATCACCCAGAATGAGGATCTGCCATCCCCCAGCCCTCAAAGATGAATGGAGCAGAGCTCCCATGGCAGTTCAAAGGCACCTGGGGCTCTGGCCACTGCCAAAATGGAATCACCTGTGGCCAGGAACTCTGGGCCCCTTTGAAACACCAGGCCTTGGGGCAATTGCCCCTTCACCACCACTCCTGTCAGTGGGCCTGGCAATACCCAATGTTCACAGGCGTGCCTCAAAAGAAAAAAATGTTACTCTCAAGGTGAGCTCCTGAGCTAGTATAAATTGGCATAGTTCCACTGAACCTAATAAAGATCCAGGCCCCAGGTGTTTAATCTTTTAAGTCAAGAGTTCTTCAAAAATAATTTTACTACTGTTTGATATAATACAGTAATTTAAAGCACATATCTCTTTAGGTTTTTTTCTTTCTGAATATTCTACATTTGTTCTGTTGCAGATACATAAGATATCTCACAGCTGCAAGTTTCATACCTGACTGCAAAGATACCCACCCACTTGAGGCCTATCACAACTTCTATCTCACATAAACCTGGAATACCTCACTGTTATTCCTGTAAATCATTGACATCAGAAATGCAAAACTTGAAACTAAAGATAAAGCTGCATGCAAGATTAAAGAAACAGATCAGTTCACGTTTGCTCCTGTTTTGTTGCATCCCTCTCCCTCTGCCACAGCTTGAAAGCAACCATTGCCCTGCACATTTGATTTTTTGGCAGATGAGAAGAAAGAAAGATGTTCCAATGATTTAGGCACTAGCTTAGGACTTGGGAGACTGCACTCAACTCCCTACTCTGCCATAGATTTCCTGTGTGACCTTAAACAAGCCACTTAGTTCTCTATAAAATGGGAACAAGAGGACTTATCTACCTCACTGAGGTATTGTGAGGATAACAAATTGCAGATTCTGAGGTACTCAGATTCTATGAGAATGAGGGCCATATAAGTACCATACATAGTTTTCCACTTGCCCCTTTTTTAAGTCACAGTTCTCTTTTATAAGTTTCATAACATTGAAAGCTACTTAAGGTATATACAATAGGATATGGGCACCTCACGGTCTGTAATGGATTTATCTTCACAAGTGCTATTATCCCTATTTTAGACCCAAGGAATTTAGGCACAGAGAAGCTAAGTGACTTGTCTTAAACCCAAACAAGAAGTTGACAATACAGCAAGGACTTGAAGGGACCACTGGACCATCCTTCCAGTCTCAAAACAAACCAGAAATAGCTTTGTAGGTGACACAATGTTGTGATATGGGGTTCTCTGAGAGTGCGTGGCAGGGACAAACTCAGGAATCACTATGTTGCACTTGAACACTAAAACATGATGGTGATTTGGAATGACTAGAAATGTTATTGTGTCATGACTGTGAGGAGGGGTCAAAAAATGAAAAGCCCATCACTTTGGTACATCAAACAAGCCCTTACACTATACACACTGCATTGCCACATTATGAAGTTTCATGGGTCCCCTAAAATGACTGCAGCACACCTCCCTGAGGGAGCATCTGAGAATATGGGGATGATTGTGGAAATGCTATAACGCGGCGAATTGACAGAACAGCACAACACAAACATCACCATATTGTCATGCGACAGAGAGGGGCAAAGTTCAGACACTTAGTCATATTAAAGCTGCTGTATTCACTCACCAATGTTGGATTAGGGCAGGACATGGCTGCCCATCCTTCCCTTGCATCCTAGCAACCTCTCTGCTGGCTGTCTCTGCTCGGCTTTTTAATATGATTTTACTGCTGGGATAGCTGTATGCAAAAGATTCATAGAGTGCAGCTAGACAGCCTGGATGTCCATCCGTCGCTTCCTGCTGCTAGTAGAAGCCAGGTCCTCTCCCTTTCCGTTGGGCCTGCTGCCACTAGGCCTGGTAGATGGGAAGAAAACGGCTGCTGAGAGTTGTTGCCAGGACGCTGTCTCCATAGAAACCTGCAGCTCAATCTGAGAGAGCCAAGATTCTCCTAATAAACAGAAAGTGAGAGAGAGAGACTTATTTATAGGAGGCAAATATTCACACACCCTCCAGGAACCAGAACAAATCCCTTCTTATCACCGTTTCCTCACAATCTATTTCATGGCAGTGTCAACGCCTTGAAGAACAGGGAGGGGAAAGACCCAGCAAATAAAAACCTTATTCCATATGTTACAGCATGAATGACTAACAGTGACGGATTTTAGACACAGTATTGGGCCAACTATAAATGCAGAGACTGTGGCGAGCCTGCATTCTGTTCAATACAGTCTGCTGAGTGCCTGCTTTAATCAATCCTTTGCTTGACAAAGGTGATCGATTTAATTGGAATTACTCCAAATTCCTAATGGTGTAAATGAGATGAGAATATAGATGACAATAGGGATTTTTCCCTGAGTGTATAGAAAATCCAGGTTGAATATAGGGCTGTCAAACTGCCAATCTGAATCAGTGAGAAGTTCAAAAATTACCTACATTTTCAGTTGCTCTCAAAGCTAGTGTATTGTTTTTGTGCCTGTAAAACTGCAAATGCCTGTGTGTGTGTGTGTGTGTGTGTGTGTGTGCGCGCGCGCGCCCACAGAGTGTACATGTACCTACATCTGCATGCACTAATCAACTATGGGAAAGAATAGCCAGCAAAAATTAACATTGGGTCTGCTTCTGCTCTGGTTTAATGTTGATGTCAATCTGCTGATTTCATCACAGTTGTAATGGTGCAAACCAAAAGCAAGTAAAATCAGATCTGATTCAGCAATCCCAAAAGTAAGTCTTAAACATTTGCTTTTGGCTGAAATCGATATCAAATCCCACTACTGCTGCCAACAGAAATCATCACAATTCTAACCATCTGGTGTGTCTGAAGGTTAAATAGCTTCCTGACATGCACATACTTTTATATAAAAAGTAACTAAGGCTCTGAATCTAAAGGGCATTCATTGCGCTCTATTTATATTAAAAGTCAACTACACCTCAAAGGATCAAGTCTGAAGGTAATAGTAACTCATGTTTGACAATCATTGGCCCTAATTACAAGTGTTTGCAGGATCAGGCAATACATAATAGAACATGCTTACTTTATGCACATAAGGAGCCCCCTTGCTTTCTAAGGCTACGTCTATAATGCTTCCTTCTTGCGCAAAATCCTATGCAAATTAAGCACAGATTAGCATATTGCTGTGCTTCATTTACATAATTAATTAGGGGCCATTTTTGTGCACGAGCCTTTTGCGCAAAACAGAGCTGTGTAGATGGCTCCTTTTTGCGCAAAAACCCCCTCTTGCTCAAGAGCCGTTCTTCCTGAAAAAATGAGGAAGAATGGCTCCTGCACAAGAGGGGTTTTTTGGGATGCTGTGAATGAATGCTGCCAGTGTCACCCTCATCTAGTTGTATAGAGCCAGGTGAGAGCTGCCAGATTAAAGGCTCTTTGCTTTGTGAAAAAGGACTTTCGCGTATTAGTTTAAAGCCTGCTACCCATTCATTTCATTTGGTGTCCTCTAGTCCTTCTATTATGGGAACTAATGAAGAAATTTTCTTTATGCACCCTCTCCACACCACTCATGCTTTTATAGACCTCTATTATATCCCCCCTCAGTCTCCTCTTTTCTAAGCTGAGAAGTCCCAGTCTCTTTAGCCTCTCTTCATATGGGACCTGTTCCAAACCCCTGATCATTTTAGTTGCCCTCCCCTCTCCCACCCTGTCTCTTCCCCTCTCCTACCTTCTTTTCCCAGTCTCCCTGAGTTTTTCTCAATAAAGAGAGTTTCTATTTTTGAACACACGTGTCCTTTATTTTGTACATGAGGAAGGGGGGCTAGGGAGGGGTAAGTGGAAGGAGGTGAGGGAGGAATGGGGTA